TGCATTCTAATTTCTAGAGTTTCCACAGTATAATACTCAGAATATCCAATTTTCTACAAAAATTTACAAGGTATGCAAAGAGACAGGAAAGTATGACCTATTCACAAGAAAAAAAGCAGTTGACAGAAGCCATCCCTGAGAAGGCACAGACATTGGGCATCTTAAATATACTCAAAGAGATCAAGGAAACCATGGACAAAGAAAACCAGGAGCACAATACATGAAGAGGTAGAGAATATCAGTAAAGAGATGTTATGAAAACAAATCAGTGGAAATACTGTACCCCAAAATTACAATAGCTGAAATGAAAAATACATTACAAGAATTTAATAGCAGATTTCAGCATACAGAAGAACTAGAGAGCTTGAAGGTAGGTCAATTGAAATTATCCAGTTAGAGGGGCAGAGAGAAAAAAGAATGAAGAGTGAACAGAGCCTAAGGGACCTGTAGGACACCATCAGTATTTGCACTAAGGGAGTACCAAAGGAGAACAGAGAGGGAAAGGAACAGAAAGTATTTGAAGAAATAATTCCTGAAAACTTACCAAATTTGGTGAAGGGCAAGAATCTGTACATCCAAGAAGCTGAACAAAGTCCAAGTAGAATAAACCCAAAGAGGTTTACAGCAAGACACATCAGAGCCAAGCTGTTGAAGGTCAAAGACAAATAGAGAAAAATCTTGAAAGCAGTAACAGAAAACAGCCCAATCAAAATGATGGTAGTGGGTTATCAGAACTTACTAACATTAGTGTCACTAAAGTTGGTGTACAACCCCTCACTGCTAAGTTTGACTGGTTTAATTTAAAAAAAAAAAAAAAAAAGGCAAGGGTTTGAGTAGATATTTCTCCAAGAAGATTTACAAATGACCAACAAGCACATGAAAGCAAAGTGTGTTCAACATCATTAGTTATTAGGGAAATGCATATCAAAAGTGAGGTACCAGTTCCCACCTAGTAGGATGGCTGTAATCAAAACAATGGAAAATAAGGGTTAGCAAGGATGTGGAGAACTTGAAACCTGCATGCATTGCAGGTGGGAATGTAAAATAGTATAGCTGCTACAGTAAACAGATTGTTCATTCCTCCATAAGTTAAACAAACATAGGATTACCATATGACCCAGCAATTCCATGCCTAGATATATATCCAAAAAAGTTGAAGACAGGTATTCAAACAAAAACTTGAACAAGAATGTTCATTGCAGCAAAATTCACAGTCGCCAAAAGGTGGAAATAACTCAGATGTCCATTAGCTAATAAATGGATAAACAAAATGTGATAAATACATACAGTGGAATATTATTCGATCATAAAAAGAAGTTAAGTACTGATATATGCTACAACATGGATGTACCTTGAAAACTTTATGCTAAGTGGAAGAAGCCAGACACAAAAAGCCACATGTGATTTTCATTTATATGAAATATCCATAGGCATATGGATATTTGCCTATCCATAGATTAGACAATCCATAGATACAGAAAGCAGATTAGTGGTTGCAGGAGTAGGAGGAAATGGGGACTATTCATGGGTATGGGGATTCCTTTTGGTGTTATGAAAATCTTCTGGAACTAGATATGATAATGGTTGTATGATATTGTGAATATACTAAATACCCCTGAATTATACATTTTAAGATTGTTTAAATAGTCAATTTATGTGCATATTACCACAACAAAAAAAAAATACGTACATGCATACACAAACTCACAAAGGAGGGCCATAAGGTTTTGAATAGTATATGCCACAAGATCTAAAGACAGCTCCCATGGAGGAGTTCCCAACATACTTGGCTAATGGTAAGGACAAATAATCACAGAATTGTTGGATGTCGATTGGCTACGTAGAGGAGGGCCCTGAGCCTTCCTGTTAGAACATAGGATCAGTAGACACAGTGGTAGCTCAGACTTCTCTTCCTGTCCTGCCACTGGCAACATATCCTGTGAGGCTGTTTCCTGCCTATTTTAGAATCTAGGGCTGGCCTGGTGGCGCACTCGGTAGAGTGCGGTGCTTGGGAGTGTGGCGGTGCTCCCGCCGAGGGTTTGGATCCCATATAGAGACTGGTCCGCTCACTGGTTGAGCGCGGTGCGGGCGCGACACCGAGGGTTGCAATCCCAGTGCCAGTCACGGTACGGGCGCGACACCGAGGGTTGCGATCCCGTTACCGGTCACGGAAAAAAAGACAAAAAGGAAAAAAAAAATCTAGTTGCCAAACCACCCTTCCCCCCATGAGAATCAACTTTGATCTCAGTCCCATTTTTCACTTTTGTGTTACTGGATAGGTGGTTAACACATCCCATAATAGCAATCCTTTTTTTTTTTTTTTCTTTTTTTTTTTTTTTTTCTCTTTTTCTTTTTCTTTTTCTTTTTCTTTTTCTTTCTTTTGCTGACTGGCTGGTACAGGGATCCAAACCCTTGACCTTGGTGTCAGCACCATGCTCTCCCAATTGAGGCAATTGGCCAGCCACAGTAGCAGTCCTTTTTTGATACAGGACCATTCTGGCCCTATCTAGTACTGTTCTTATGAATGCAAAAGGAACGGACTTGAATAGATGTTCATGCAGTATTGAGTAGCCATTTGAACATCATAGCACTGTTGAATTGTAAGTGTTCTTTATGTATTCCTCTATCCATTTTAGGAATGCCACCTTTCTTCACCCACCACACCCATTATTATTCCACACTGGTGACAGGCAGCTTAGTGGGACAGAGCAAGCAGATGTACCCTTTCTGAGCCTTCAGGAGAGGACTGTGTAACTTTGGCCCTTTTCAGCCTCTTCTCTCACACACTGCAGCCTAAGCAGCTATCCAAGAAACAGTCAGCCAGCCCCAGACTACCAGAGCGCAACTGAAAGCCATGCCTCAGTCTCGAGGGTGCTCTTATAGAGAAGGTTTGTGCCATAGACAGTTGTAATTATGTTTTAGACACAGCTTTTCAAATTGGAAACTTTCATTAGTACCTTGGGTTTTAACATAGAACATTGAGAAGTATCTTTACAATTACTAAGTAACTGACTAAAATCATGAACATATGTATTATATTATTAAGCTGACGATAATAAATGCACTTTGTCTCCTTGACAGTGTTTACCATTCAACAAAACTTGGTACTCATTTGTTTTTCTGTAATTCAAACTGGTTTTAAATTCCTTTCAAGCCAGAGTTCTGCCTTCCTTCATTTTAGGCCATTCACAAATTAGACCTACATAAATAGTAGCCTCTTTTTTTTTTTTTTTTTTTTAGCAGCTGGCTGGTACAAGGATCAAAGCAGCCAATTTTTTAATGCATTTTTCTATTTTTAAACACATGATCTGGCATCTAAGGCGTGTACTACAACAGTCTTCTAAATATCAATAATTTAAAACACTTGCCTGCTCCATACTCACCTTGCTGCTCTTACTTAGCAGAACAACTGGGCATAATGGGAGGAAGAAGGCTTGGGTGTTCCCAACCTCAGGTGAGAGAGTCTGCAGATCAGAACTCCCTCTAAGGGCTGGCCCGTGGCTCACTCGGGAGAGTGTGGTGCTGATAACACCAAGGCCACAGGTTCGGATCCCTATATAGGGATGGCCAGTTGGCTCACTTGGGAGAGCATGGTGCTGACAACACCAAGTCAAGGGTTAAGATCCCCTTGCCGGTCATTTTTTTTTTTTAAAGGTGACCGGTAAGGGGATCTTAACCCTTGACTTGGTGTTGTCAGCACCACGCTCTCCCAAGTGAGCCACGGGCCGGCCCCTGGTCATCTTTTTAAAAAAAATTTTAAAAACTCCCCCCAAGACTGTCACCATCTCTCGACTGGAGCAGCTCTTCCTGCTCAGTGTTCTTTGGGTTCCTACTTGGAGGGATGAGAAGTGATCAGAGCAGTGGGAAGAGTCCCATTCTCCAGCTTTCCACCCTTTGGGTCCTTTGTGCTCTGCCCTGATCTCAGTAGCACACCTCCCAATCTGCTCCTGTTAAGACCGCGCTTATTTGTGCCAGTTGGGCACAGCAGCACAGCCCCTGCCCTCTGCCTTTAAGGCATTCAGTGTCATAAAAGAAGACAGAGACATTAACAATTATAGGTCAGGGTTGGTGAGTGTTTTTATAGTTATGAATAGAGCACCAGGAAGTAACTAATTCAGGAGTGCAGCTCTTGACAGAGCAGTCTGTCATTTTTACTCTTAATTGTCTGCCCCTCCATATTACTTCAAATGACTCTGGAAACAAGTAGCCTACCTATAAGCTTCCCGTTAGCCAGGATTGAGTCAGATACATGCGCATTCCTTGGCAGCGCAGGAGTCTGGGAGCATAGGATCAGTTGGTCTCTGCTGACAAGGAACACGCCATAGGCTGTTCCCAACCACATTCCCACTCCCAGGCCAAGTACTCAGAAATCCAGGGTGTGTAACTAAGGTTTAGGCTTACTGGCTCTCAGTTATCCAGCTTTATATATGTAAAAAGACATAATTTAGGAAGAATGAGTCTTTTCTCTCTTTTATTCCTATAGAGAGTCCTGTAACAAATAGAGCGGTCATTTTCTAAATGCTGGGTGCCAGGCACTTTGCCAGGGTGCTTTATATCTCATCAGTAATCCTTAAAACAGTATAAGAAAGTTGTTTTTTCCCAGTTTCACAAACTTTTCTCTCTTTTATTCCTATAGAGAGTCCTGTAACAAATAGAGCGGTCATTTTCTAAATGCTGGGTGCCAGGCACTTTGCCAGGGTGCGTTATATCTCATCAGTAATCCTTAAAACAGTATAAGAAAGTTGTTTTTTCCCAGTTTCACAAAATGAGGAAACTGAGTCTCCAGGCAGTTGGGTAATTAACTCAGGGTCATACAGCTGATAAACTTTGAACCCAGTTCTCATGTTGCAAAATATGGGCTCTTTCGCTCCTTGTATGTCACCACAAGCTGTTGGCAATCATTGTTTGTGGAAGGAAAAGAAAGAAGTACTCAGTGGTCGTAATATTTTTCTTCCCTCTTCATCTTCCCTGTGAGCTCCAATCATGTTTTCTTTTTTTAGTGAAGAAAAAATGACTGCTGCCCGCATTAGAAAATGCCATAAGTGTGGGACTGGCCTCATCAAGTCTGAAGGCTGCAACCGCATGTCCTGCCGCTGCGGTGCCCAGATGTGCTACCTCTGTCGAGTATCTATCAACGGGTATGACCATTTCTGCCAGCATCCTCGCTCACCAGGAGCCCCTTGCCAGGAGTGTTCAAGATGCTCTCTCTGGACGGACCCTACTGTGAGTAGATACATGGCTGCCCATTGATTTATAGGGGAAAAAAATAGATACATTGCTATAATGAAAAAATATTTTGTATATATATAACAAATTTTGATTCATGAAAAGATATGGGAGATAATATAGACTAGTAGCCACAGGAAAAAATTGAAAAAGTAATCAAAAGCTACTTATCAGAAAGCAACATGCCCAGTTTTTTGGGCAAATTCTTTCAATCCTTTAGGAAATAAAATTTTTCTATGCTATCTGAAATATTCCAGAGCATAAAAAAGTAAGGAAAGCTGTACAGTATTTGTATAAAGTCAGCATAATGCTGATAGCAAAACCTGACAGATAGCCCTAACAAAGAAAATTACAGGTTTTCTTATGAATATCACCTATGAATATAGGTTTTTAATTCTCTGAATAAAATATTAGCAAGTAGAAAGCATGACCAAGTGAGTTTGTTCCAGAAATGCAAGGATGGTTTAATATTAACAACTCTATTAATATAATTTACCATATATTTTTACATGGTAAAAAGACATTTAATAAAATCAAATATCTGTTTTTGATTTAAGCTTTAAAAAAATAGTATTGAATGTTCCCTTAATATAATTTATGCTTTTTTTTAAAACTCCATATTTTGAAACAGTTGTTACCATATATTTAATAATGAAGTACATCAGTGCATTCCCAGTAAAGTCAAATATAAGAATGTCACCACTATTTTGTTCTGGAACTGCTAGTCATTGCATTTAGCTAAGAAAATAAAACAAAAGATATAGATGCTGGAGAAGTCATAGCTAATGTTTAGAAAGTACTTTTATATATAAAGAAGGGCAAATTTGCCATTTTAAACCTGTAAAAAGACTAATCAACTAGAAAGCTATTACAAGCAGTAGGAAGATAGCTAGATACAAAATCAACACACCGAATGCCATTCACAATAGCAATACAAATCATGAAGTACCCTAGAAATGTACTTTAACAGGTAATATATAGAAATTTAAAGAAAACTATAAAACTATATTGAAGGTTATGAAGAGACTTGAACATATGGAGAAATACGCTTTGTTCTTAAATAAGTTTTAATATAAAGGTATCAATTCTTAAAATGATTCTTTTTAAACTAGAAACAAGCAGTCAGTTCTAGGCTGATTTGTAAGGATAACGATATGATAATGTGATTCAGTGTAGCGGTGAGTTCCCTGCTGCCCTGGAGCAAGTGCACAAGGCCCCACTGGGAGGCTGGGCTGATGACAGGTGCTTCTCCGCTTTCACTGAGGCAGAGTGATGAGGGTGTAGGTATTAGAGAAACATGTCTGTCCTCAAAGGGGACACATGGTACTACATAGAGATCACTTCTCTCCAAAGTCATCTAGAAATTAAATGCAGTTCACATCTAAATTTAATAGGATTTATTTTCTTGAAAAAAATGATTATAATTTTGAATATGAAACTAATTTTTACTATAGAGTTAAACTAATCAAACCGTGTAAACTAATACAAGAACATGCAGATAGATCTAAGGGACAAAGTAGAGACCAGTAAGAGAACTATAAGAATTTAATGTACGATAAAAAATGCCATTTCAGATCAGTGGAGAAATGATAGATTGATTCATTTGTTCATTCTTAACTATACAGTGTTGCTAGAACTAGTCTGAACAGAAAAGCCCCTGTCCTCACGGAGTATACAGTTTCAGTCTAAAACAAGAGTCTTTAGTGTACTGTTTTGGAATAATAAGTGTGATGCAGCAGAGAATGGCAGGCAGTGGAGGAGGGGGGTGGCTTTAGATAGAGTGATGTGGGCAAGCGTCTCTGGGGCAGCATTTGCAATGAAACCTGTGGGGGAGGAGCAAGGCCTTCAGAAGATGTCAAAGGAAGAAAGCCTGCATGGCCTCCAGGTGGGGAGCTGCAGGGGAGGTGACAGGGCCTGGCCTAGAGCCAGGCTGCAGGTCTCGCAGTAGGGGCCTGTTGTAGGGCTTTTCTGGGGGGTTAAGTTTTCGAGATCACACTGGCTACTATATAAAGAGGACGTTTGATAGCTGTTTGGGGCACTTGGCTAACCGTTTGGAAATACTTCAAGAAAACAAGGGAGATGACCTTAATAATCTTGGAAAAGGAAAGGTCCTTCTTAGCATTGCATCAAGGCCAGACTAAAACGTAAATTTACTTCGGCAAAAGAACCTTAAGCAAAGATAAAAATAAATGAAAGACTGGGGAAAAAAGTTATAACATATATATGATTTCAGATAAATGTTCTTGATATGTAAAGGATAACATGACTCACTAAGAAATCAATAAATATCCCTATATTAATAAGGATTGATTTGTCTGTGAACAACAGAAAACCCAAAAATAGCAGTGGCTTAAACAAGATAGAAGTTTATTTCTCCTTTATGTGTAAGTGCAGAGGTGGACAGCCCCAGGATGGGATAGCAGTTATGGTCAGGGACCCAGCTGGATCCAGAATTCTGCTCTACCATTCCCAGAGTATAGACTATAATCATATGTGGTCATGGTCTCAAAAGGCGCTCTGGCTGATAAATCAACATTCCAGGCAGCAGAACAGGATAGAAGGGACAAAGAGCCTGCCCATCCACCTCTTAAGGAATGTTGTGCTTACAGAAGCTCTCCCAAGTCACTTCCTTCATCCCATTAGCCAGAACTTAATCATATAACCTCACCAACTACAAGAGTAACTGGGGAAAGTAGTCTTTATTTTAGGTTATCGTAGACCCAACTAAAAATTACTATGGGAGAGGGAAGGTGTTATATTGGGGAGTGAACTTAGTCTCTTCACTCCAACTGAGAAAAAATGGACAGGGGAAGTGAAAAAAGAATTACAAGTAGGCAAAAAAACTTATTAAAAGATGCTTGCTTTTCTGCCTAGCCACAATCTGTTGGAGTAGTGTAACAGCCACCCTGTAATAACCAAATAAAGGGAAATGAAAACATCACCTGTCAGATTAACATATTTTTCAGATTGATTATACCCATGTTGGTGAGAACATGGGAACGTGACCATCTCCTACACTGTTGGTGGGAGTACAATTGGACATAGTGGGCAGTTGGGGTATACAAATCAGAAATTTTAATGTGTATACCCATGACCTAGCAGTTCACTTACTAGAAAAAGTTTCCTAAGGAGACAACTAGACAAGTTCACAAAGGTCTATCTACTAAACTGCTCACTAAGTTATTTAAAGTAGAGTACATTTAGAAACCACATTTAAATATCCCCAAAATAGAAAATGTGTTAAATTTTATACATGCTCACATTAGAATTGTACAAAAAGTGGGCCGGCCCCATGGCTCACTCAGGAGAGTGCGGTGCTGGTAGCACCGAGGCCACGGGTTCAGATCCTATATAGGGATGGCCAGTGCACTCACTGGCTGAGCGTGGTGCTGACCACACCGTGCCGAGGGTTGTGATCCCCTTACCGGTCCAAAAAAAAAAAAAAGGTACAAAAAGTGATACTATATATCTATATTTTTTAATGTGGAGGGAAAAAAAACTTAAGATTTACACATAGAAAACAACAGCATGTATAGCTGGGGTCACAGGCCTAAATTACCACAGGAGCAGATAAGAACAGATAATAGATGAATGAAGTAGCCAAGTCTAGGACACAGTAGGGCTTGGTGGAGACTGTAGCAAACAGGAGAGGAGGGGGTAGGCTTATCAAAGGGGTGCTACTTAGCTCCCAAAGATTGTTGCTAGGTGGGGCTATGCTCAGGGCTGCCATGGCCTCAGATTCTCCACAGAGGCTGGAAATCTGTGTTTTAATGTGAAATCTCCCAGTTTTTAAAATTGGTCATTCTTCCAAATATCTTTAAAACACCGTTCAAGACAGCACTTTATAAGCCAAAAAAAAAGTCTTTTTAGCTACCAATCTTTACCTCTGAGGCAGAAAATCTCCAGCATGCCTAGAAAGAAAACATGTCAGGCTCACAGGCTACCCACTGTGGAAGGCCACAGCAGACCATTCTGCTGGCCAGGGGTGGGGTGGCCTAGAGGCCGACCTCAGCCCATGTTAAAGAAATACACGATCCTCAGAGCTACCCACGTTTTTTTTGTTTGTTTTTTTGTTTTTGTTTTTTTAAATATTATCCGAACCCATGGCCTTGGTGTTATCAGCACCGCACTCTCCCGAGTGAGCCACGGGCTGGCCCTACCCACAGTTTTGAAAAGCAGCAAGTCCTCCATGGAAACCAGGCGTCCCCATAGCAGAAATGTTCTGTCAAGGAACAAGCTCCTCGCTAGGCGTGACGCTAGACTAACTGACCCAATGAGACCCAAAGCAAGCCTGCCCTCCAGTCACTGAGGAAATACGTGAACACAGGGAGCACAGTGGGAAGTTCCAGCCAGGTAATCCCCACAGCCTTTGTGAAAGGCATCCTGGGACATGGCTGTTCTGGTTCACTTGCTCAGTCCCATCCAGCTAGCATGCTGGGTGCCGAGCATCTCTAGAACTTCATGAGGAAATAGGATTCTTTTTACTCAGCTGGAGCTCCCAAGTATTCCTTGGGCTACATTTCATCTCCAGAAACAAAGAGCAGAGAGGGAGTCAGCACCTGAGGGCGGATGTTTAACAGTGTGGCCTATCCTTGGTGCTGTTTTTCTTCCTTCTCCCCATTGTGCAATTTTCTGTTTTGTTTTTTATGGCGGCTGGCCAGTAGAGGGATCTGAACCTTTGATTTTGAAGTTGTAACTCCATGCTCTAACCAACTAAGCTAACTGGCCAGCCCCCTCCCTCTTGTTCTTGTTTGTTCTCCTGCCACTCCCCTTTCTTCCCATAGGTGGAATTGGTTATAAAGTCTTCTCATGCACTGTTACCTTGTTTGGGTGCCATAGCATGCAACTGCCCCCTTGTTTTCTTGTTGAATTGTCATCTTGTAGCTTGAGAAAGATTCTGTAATTGCTCAAAATTAAATTCAAGAGGTCAGTCAGGCAAATATAAACCCCTCTGATTTCCTCTGGTAGCCATAGACAAAGATTTTGTTCCAGTTGTC